CGGCGGCCGTGGCTTTCGGGCCAAGCCTTCCGGTTCACCTCGAAGGTCCGCCGGGAATTCGCCTCTCCCTCGCGACTAACTCCTCTGGCCCAGCCGTAACGGCCGATGGAATTTCGCCGGGGTCCACCCAGCCGGTGCGAACAATGTATCCCACGGTATGGAAAAAGAGATCGAATATATATATATATATATATATATATATATATATATATATATATATATAGTGACGTCATGGGATTGTGAAACCCATAACGCCACACGTACTTGTGAACACCCACAAGCAGCGAGGATAGCATACGCGGCGGAGTAGTGGTTCTAAAACGCGCAACCTGTTATCTGTTGACCGCACTAGAGCGCTCGAACTAGCGAGCAACGTTTTTCTCGTGGAGGGTTGAAAGAGGGGAAGCAACCCCACTCCTGAAATTTCCCCAGGCATCGGGTCATAAATACAGGAACACGCTTCGGGAGCGCTCTCTGATATTCCAGCAACGACGGGGAACGCATCGGCAGCGCTTGAATCACAGCAAGGTCAGCGGACAGGTCTTCTCGAGCTAGAGTAGGAGTTTATTTAAATACCTGGAGCTAGAGTAGAAATTAGACTACCGAAGTGATAGAAAGTGGTGTAAATTTTGGGATCGGCAGTAACACTAATATTGGCTAGATTCGCGCTGAAGGACTCTGACGTATTCCAGTACGTTCATATTGCTCCTTATTACTGCACAAGCCAAAAGTGTACTAGTTAGGCAGCGCACGCAAACCAAAGGCGCGCAGCAAATTCGATAAACTGGAAGCGCGAATTAATTTATACGAGGCGTGTGAAGATAGAAGGCGGCATCTCCAAGAAGGCTCAAGCGTACGTGCGAAAGGTATGGTCTTGGATGGAAGGCAGGGCGCCTGTAGTGAGATAGAGCGATAGAGCGGGCGATAGAGAGAGGAGAGAGAGCCGATACGATAATTATATATATATATATGATATATACTATATATATTATATAATATATATATCATATATATAGAGAGATGAGAGAGAGAGAGAGAGAGAGAGAGATCGGAGCGATGCGACAGGTCTCTAAAATAGCTTAAAGTGGGAAACATTTTGTTAGGCGTAATAGTGGAGCAAGGGAAATCCCCAATTATTGAGACAGTTAAAAAAGAGCCATACCTTGTACTGTAAACGTGAAAGGTGGCTTCATTGTTGTACAGTTCTTTTTTTTAATTTTGAGGGAAGTTAGAATTTGTGTATTATAAGGTTGTGTTCTATTCATTCTCTGTAAAAGTGTAATTATTTTTTGTGTTATTGTGCCACTAAAAGTTTATGGGTAAATTATACGCTCGTTTGTTCACAATCTTTGTAATTTTTTTTGTGTCGAGGGTCCAGACCTTTCTCGTACCCGAAAGATCCTGCTTCCTGAGAATTTTAAGCTCGCTTCACGAGCAAATCTTATAACACGCTTACTGGCACATGCGTGGCTGCTGTGAAGATGCAGTAACGCGTTGGCAATAGGTGGCGTATAGATATGAGTTTATATAATAAACTAAAAAACTTATCAATGTAACAATAACACAGGCAAGGCAAAAAAAGTTGTCAGCCAAAACTTGAACACTGTATCATATTTAGACAAGACGAATCGCTATATCTGAAGCAAAGCCAGAATTGCGCCATACGTGACATTGTTTTTTTTCTCTTCTTACCCCCCCCCCCCCCGGGTGTTGATGTGTGTGTTGATGTTGTTAGCCCTAAGACTTGACACTTGTGTCTCTGATTCGATATTCGCAAGCTTTTCATGCGGAATGAATCCGAATCTGAAGCCACAATTGCGCAGCTACCTTCCACTGTTTTGTTTTTTAATCGCAAGAAACCACTCTGAAATTATATTTCTGTTTTCGGGGGTCGTTGACAGAACCGAAGACTTGATACATGTTTCTCTACGTATGTCGATGCGCTGAATCCGAAACTAAAGCCAGAATTATCCCACCAACCTCCAGTTTTTTTATTCGCAAAAAACACCGTGAAATTTACTATCTACAATTTCACGGTGTTTTTACGCGATTAAAAAATAATAATAAAAATGGCAAGGTGATGGCGCAATTCTGGCTTCAGATTCGGATTCAGCGCGTCGACATACATAGGGAAACAAATGCCAAGTGTTTGGGTCTGGCGACAATCTCTGAAAAGAAAATATACAATATTGAAGTAAGAAAAGTGAAATTTGTCCCGTATCACTATATAACACTGTGAATAGTTTATGCTGTACTATTTATGAGGGAAAATAACAGCATTACAAGAATTACCGCCTTATGAATACCAAAAAACCCCAACTATTTTTATAAAATACTGAGTTCGTAATATAAATACTACAGTAAAGAAAATGGAACCAGTGTTTATTGAAAACATCTCTAAATCCATACTCTACATAATCTGATGGGTTTGCTAATTTTGATCTATTTGTGTAACAAGAGTGAGAATGAACATTCTTAAAGATAAAGAATCATTCAATGTTGATATGGCAACAAATATTAATAAACGTCATTCAGATTAAAAAAAACAAAAAAACTTTGTTAAACATTGGTCATGTATGAAACAAAATTCACATACATTTTATTCAAAATACTTGTTTCAAGCAATTTTATGAAAAGGGATTTGTGCACTGTGGCTAAATTCTTATTGTAGAAGTAGGTACATGATTTGTAATTAATTGAAGACAAGAAATTCTACTCTAATTATCTTTATTGAAAAATGATAGATTTTGGTCTATCTAAGCTCTAGGTCTGAAAGTGGTCCTGTTAGTTTCATGACTGCGTAAAAATGTTAGAGATATATCAACAGAATGCATTATGAACAATCTGGTCTTATAATTTGGTTATAACCTGGTTTTATAATTTGGAGGTGTACGGGAGTATTTATATAAAGAAAAATATATTGAATATATTTGTTTTTTCACAATATCTTGAAATATTAATTCTGGTTCCCAGACAGTCTTCAATTAGTTAGAAATAATACAAGTGCTGTTGCAATACCGCTACTTATGTATATAGAAGATGAAGAGAAGAATTAAATCGCATAAATTACACCCAAGAAAACATTCTACATTCAAATGATAGTCCCATTGAAATAGAGTTCAACTCCCCCATCAGAATGTATCAAAATTATTCATCTGTTAAGGGATTCCATACTCAAAAAATCTATTTAATGGCAAAATAAGTATGGTTTAATATTTTGTTGATGTAAATGACGTCACTAATGACCTTGAAGTTATTAAGTTTTCTAAGATAAATAAAAAATATAGTCTATTGTTTCAACAGTTTTGTGGATTTTTATATCATGTAAATATCCATATGAGCTTTTATCAATGATCCTTTAAAATCACTGACAAAACTTATATTTTTAAACAATAATAACTCCAAAAAATTAATGCAAAATATTCCAACACCCATCAAATGCAGTCTTGCAAACTTTGTTGAAACAAAGCCTTTTACCATTGCCATGCATACATGTATTCAAAATAGTGCTTTTTATTTGGTAGATGTTAACAGGAAACAATGTCACTTTTGCTCAAAATTCTGAAGTACTGAACTCTGGCACTCATCGAAAGGATAAACCAGTACATAGTATATAAACGGAAATTAAATCAAAACAATACCTTGACAGAGAGTCAGACCTTACAAACTCAGTAACGACAGCAAAGACAAACAAAATGTTCCGGTACTTATGAAAATAATTAAAAGACTAGTTCACTCAGGATCTAAAATTTTAAGAAAAACCACAAAACGTCTCTTTAAAAACCACAATTAAAATTCTCACCCTATCATGATTTCTGGTTTTGTGTTGCCTGTATGTTTGCAAATGTGGTTGAGGCAGAAACACAGATTCAACTGAAAAAATGCTTGACCAAACGTACTACAGAAAGTCGGACAGAAAATCTGGCCAAAAACTTTCCTCTTTGAAATGACAGTGGCATTAAGTAGGCCAATTGTTATTACCAGGATTATTGCTGCTGCTGCTGCTGTTATTATTTTTGTTCTCCTTGGTATTAAGAAATAAGTGCACGAATACCATGAGCACTGTTCGGTTAAAAAGTAAATAACGTACCACCACAATGCAAATTTAATGAGAATTTACATTTATACAATTTAACATACACTTGTTTCTAAGAGTATGTATGAAATGTTCTCCAATTTCTTTAAAATAAATAAAAGTGTAAGAAAGCTTTAAAAGTATTAAAGATTCGGCCATGATTATACTTTCACATACCTTGTCCTGCACCAGTAACCAATACTCTTGATCCAGTAAAATTAATTTCCATTTTGGGAAAATTCAAACCATGCGCAGCTCTAGTAACTAAGTTTGCGCGTTATCGACAACTGAGCAAGAGGCGAGCAACAGCTTTCAAGGTTGCGTAAGGTCAAAAGGTTATTAAGTAAATGAAAACGTAGGATGCAGGAAGTCTGATACTGTATGTTCTTCGTTTTATTTTTTTAGAATTGGATTAATTAGCTTCGGGAGTACTATCATTGTTTGAGCAATGTTTTTACCACAGTAATCATGACAATTTGATCATCTACATAATTTCCATTTAGTAAACAAACCATTCATTTCATAACCCATTTTAAGGGCTGCAATTTCTCTTGCCTACGATCTCCAATTTTAATGATTTATCCCTTATCGTGCCTCATGCGACCGATTCATCAGCGAGAACATTGCGAACGACAGCATGAACGAAATGGCGTCAAGGACAAGGTGTAAGAAATATAAGTGTACTATTCACTCCCAGTGAATAGTGAACTGAAGCTTATATGAGGCTAGTTCTCACAGTTCTCGCATGTAAGCGCTGCGATGTAAGTGGGTATTTTTTGAGCAAGATGACTTTATTATCGTACTTTACGAGGAACGATATTGGATTTGGTAGCGTGAGGGCGTTATGTAAAAACATTTGGTTTTTAGTTTGTAAGAGATAAAAAATGAACATGTGATCCACGATTACTAGAGAATAGAGGAATAAGTGAGCTAAAACTGATTAACGAGTAAAGAATAAAATTCGTGAAACATTCAGATCGCGGATTGTAGTAAAACGTATAAAGTACATTCAGCGTGGTAATATGAATTGCTCTAGTATAGAAATATGGAAATAGTCGCTGATCTTGTCGCAACGCCAAGATTGTTGTAATATCTACGCAAAGTAGATATTAGACGATAAGTTGCAAAAGTCTTTATAAACAATTTAGCAAGGCCAAGACGTGTAAAAATAAGGTATAAAATTAAGGGAGAAAAATAATTATCATTTTTCCAAATAGATATTCGATGGCCATCAAAAATAGGTAACATTAGAGAAAACACAAGGAGATATTGTTAAAATATATTTTAAAAAATTAAGTGAAGATTAATTCTGCAGCCGACATGTCATGCCGCTGATAATTTCGTAAGAAATTACAAGATATCTGATTTTTATTAGGATTAGTTAAAGGAATGAATAACAGAATATTTTATAACAAATTTAAATTATCACTATCCGATACTCATACGAGCGTTGTTTTTTAACCCACAAGAAGAAATACGATAATACTCTGAGATAATGTAAGTATGCAAACGTCCAAAACCTTGGAAAAAATTAGAGCTAGACACTCTATTAAATTGAATAATAATTAATAGGGGGATTAGGAAACGTATGGAGAAATATAAATGGGATTTTATTTATATTAGAGAAAAGACGAATTGTCACTGTTGATTATACGAGGAAGCTGAATATTGAACTTTCTCAACGCCAGGCCCAACGCAAAATATAGTTAATTTTATAACAGTGAGAAGATGAACTGTCACAATATAATAGATACAGTATAACCAAAACAGCACCAACGGTACGGTCATTGCTAAGAATTCCAGAAGAGAAGTGGATATATATCCTATAAATGGATACCACAGTGTAGAAGTCGGCGAGGCAGATCATCAACCCCATGAAAATAGGGAATACTGACTGCCATGGTGATAACAAATTTGACAGATGATGATATAGTGGATAAGGAAAGCTGGAAAAGAGGAGCGAAGTAACATCGCCAGATGTGAACCACTCAGAGATAAATATAGTTTGCGGCATACCAGCACTTGCTTGCCACCCAGAGGCGACAGTGCTGCCCTCAGAAACCTCTAAGGAGATCATATTACCTCATATTAATTAGATCGCTGATGAGGTAGATACCTTCTATTATTATGATAAATAAAGGATGTTGTCTGGTATCAATATTGATAAAACAACGTCCTTTATTTATAATAATAATCTCATATACTATATTATAGCCTCCTTGCTCTAAGTCACGTGTTCTGGACATTTCTATACCGCGGAAAGCGACGCTTCGCTACGCAATTCCAAGTTGAGGACTAGGCTCTGATCATGAATGAATAGGTGTTAATCTATTCTCTGACCTTCGGCCCTTGGGTTCACATAAAACATTCTTGAAACTGCACGATGCATAATTACCAACGCAATTTAGGCAAATACACCTTAAAATTATTTGGCGTGTATATTTTCTTAACGATTTCCGGAAAAACCATTTTCTTGCCTCCTGTTTGCCTCAAGTTTTTTCTCCCTGTAAACTCGCGAGTGAACGAATGGTACGCATCCGCGTGTGCGAACAAATCCTATCACTGCATTTCAGCCAAAAACATTTCAGCTTGAGCATAGAAGAGGCACGGCTAATAAAGGAGGCCATGGAGGAGAAATATGTGCTCTATGAACCTTAGCAACGTTTCATTAAGTAAGAACGGTCCGCGAACCTTTCTTTGAGATGGACTGGCTCAAGGCCCTCTGTATCTACCAAGGATATTATAATATATATCACTCACTGCTTTTGTTTACTTCTCTATAAAATTTTCTTTATGAACAAATATATACATTTCTTTTATAAATAATAAACAATTTACTCGTTTCTGAAGTGTTTATGTTTCTGCAATGCAAATTTTTGCATATAAAGTATTTTTTCAATCTAACTCCTGAGTACTTATTGCAGCTCAGGCATTCGGAATATCCAAGGAGTTTATTACAAAGTATATGCTTAAAATTGTCTAAAGAACTTATTTTCGACGTTTTCTCCCCGGACATTCTGTAAGTGGTGAATCGTGAAGGTAGGTCAATAATCGTAGTTGATGCAACTAGTTTATAATGTTAAGATTTATTGCATGAATACATGTTTTGAAAACGAGCGACGTTAAAAGCGAGTTTTCAAATTTGTACGAATGCAATGAAGCAACGTTCTAAACAAGTTGCATACGCTATTTTTTGGATATCAGCATTATAAATGTTTAAGGGAATCAAACTTAATCTTGCAAAATCACTTTCTTGTGACGACTCGAATATTTGATATTTGCGCGAGAAAACTGTCGTCGGCTGTTCCATTTACCTAAACTTCCCCCTGATTCTTCCGCTGAAAGTGTGATAATACAATAATTCGTTCCGTAAAATCGAATACATAATCATTTGTGCCATACAAGAACCTTTTATGAACGATTTCTTGCAACATAAAAGGTCGTTTTTAATGCTGATAAACAAAAAATGTATTTTTTAATGTCTACGTTTCGGCCATTTAATATATAATATTTTGAAATGGGACGGTCGCACGCGTCAGGTTGCGACTCGTGTATATCTTATTTTGCATGCCCGGTTGTAGCAAGCGTCGGGGACTGCTCAGGCAAGGAGCTCTATTGTTTGCGATAGGGGCGCGCCTCAGGCAACGCCAGTGGCTCACGGGGAAATATGCACGCCCACGCAAGGCAATTCACCGCTGTCATTTCCAAGAACTCGGGTGACGTCGAAATTTTTACCGAACTTTGCGAAGCCCAGACGGTTGCCGAAGACCCCGCGATTGGGCAGGAGAAACCGCGTGATGCGCGCCTGCCAATTGCTTAAAACGAAGCGGGGGAAGGGTCACGTGACTCCGCAAACCAAGGGAGGTCGCCGCAGCTCGCAAGCTCCGTCATTCCAATGTAGGAGGCGAGGGTGAGAGGTTGACATTCGAAAGCAGGAGACGAGAGCGAGCACTACATTCGATGGGGTGGGGGCGAGAGCCAGGAAAGTTTCTTTTGTCTCTGAGGGACGCCGCTGAATGCGTTGCCACTCATCGCCGAACGCCGCTAAAGGGCATTGCCGCGCACCGCAAGACGCCACACCCCAGCCGCGCCGCCGCCGACTCCCGAATACATCGCCGCAACATCGCGGACCACGCCGGTGTCGCTCGGGCAAGAGCGAATACCGAGCAATCACTGTGTGAGTGCCTGTGCTCGAGCCCAGGACTCACGGCGAGCCGAGGCGCAACCACTGCTGCCGCGAGCCACACCGTCCGCACGACGGATCAGGCGTTGCTAGCGCCTGGGACGCCACCTACTATCCTGACCTCCTCGCTAAGGGGCCCTGACAAGCCGGGGGAAGCCAGGGTCGCGCTGTCGCCTGATCGCGGTGCACCAGACGGCCAGGGGAAAGGATCGCTGTTGCGTCACCGGGATTATGGACGCCGGGGAGGGCGCCATCCTGCCTGAAAGGGTGAACTCTACTGATTGGCCATAAGTAAGATAAGTTAGGTTAAGTTAGTTTTAAGAAAGACCTATTTAAAACAAGAAGCTTCACCTCGAATGGAATGGATATTATATCCACTTAAAAAATGCAGATATGTTTTAATGCATTATGAGCGTGAGGAAAATCCCTATCACGCATGTATCCTAGAAGAATCTACAGACTGAGCAGCCGGGGCAAGGCTGGATCGGGTAACCAGGTAATCAGGTGAGTCGGGGCAGCCACCAGGGGGCCAGGTGGTTACAATATATAATAGTAAATTCGGCCATATAAATGAACTGAGACCAATTAATATACATGGCATTAATCAACATTAATTATTGTTGTAAATTCTAAACTGTAACTAAGAATATTTCTTCTTCGTCTTCTTAATATTATTATTACATTTATTAATGATGTTAGTTTAAATAGTGATGAGTAAATCTACATCAGATTTGTAGTTGCATGTTTGATTAGTACTTTTCTTGAAGTGTAAAATTTATTTGATTTTTTCTTTTTTGAAGTTTATTTCTCTGTCGAGAAGGAAGTTTGATGAAACTGAACTTGTTTTTCATACTATGTCTGGCTAAGGCATGCAAAGCTGTTTCATTTTTCACATCATTTTTATGTTGATTTATTATCTTTTTGATACATTGGGCAGTCTGTCCTATCTCTATATGTAAACTGTACCACAATCGCCGCAGGAAACCTGTTAGAAATTAATTTTCACAAAGACAAAACCCCCATCTCGATCAGGTTTTTGTCAATTTTCCCTGATACATTGAGCAAATGCTGAGAGCCCCTTGTTTTGCTTCTGGACATAAATGTAGCTTCTCTATGCGCACGTTTTGTGGAACTCCCCTTTTACTTGTAGTGGTAGGAGGTAAGGGCCAGTTACAATTTTGTTAGCAATGCAGAAAATAAAATCTGCAGTTTTTTTACCGTTGCAAAAACGTTTTCTATTTTCGGGAACACAAATGTCTAGTTTTTGAAATGTCGCTAATCTTGCGCTTTTTAAAATTATATTTTTATTTATTTATCTTTAACTTTCACTCATCTTTCAACTATTTATAGTTAAAATTATGGGAAGGGATTCTGGAACTCATGAAAACGAGCGAAGATTATCTTCTCCACCACATGTCACATACAATTTTGTACTGTTTTTTACTAAAAAATCTAAATCTAAACAAAAATTTGCCCAATGAATAAGAAAAATGTCATTTACCAGAAACTGGTTTAAAATGTGATAAAAGTATTAAATAGTAATACATAGCAAACACTTAAATAATACATGTAACTAATTTATAGTGATTTAGATTTAGATTTATTCAATAAAAAAACGGTAAAAACTGTATGTGACGTAGGGGAAAAAGATTATCTGCGCACGTTTTCTTGAGTTACAGAATCCCTTCCCGTTATTTTAACTATAAATAGTTGAAAGACGAGTAAAAATTTAACATAAATAAATAAAAAAATTAAAAATCGCAAGATTAGAAATATTTGAAAAATAGTCATTTTGGTTTACGAGTTATAAAAAACTTATTTGCATCGGTAAACGAATTGAAAGTATGATTTTTCTGCGTTGATAACAAAATAGCAACTCGCCCTTACCTCTACTCTTACCATTACAAGCAAAAGGAGAGTTCAACAAATCGTGCGCATAGTGAAGCTACATTTACGACCAGAAGCAAAACAATGGTCCATCTCAGCATTTGCTTAATGGATCAGGGAAACTGGACAAAAAACTGATCGAGATGGGGGATCTATCATTTATCGCAGTTTATATAGTAATAGTGTATTACATAAGTGCTACGTAGCAGATACATAAGTAATACATGTAACTAATTTAAATTAATTACTATTTATGGCAGTTTATATAGCATTCCTGAATACCATTCTTTATAAAAAGCCTTTTTGACATCAAATAAATTAGCTAGAGAATATTTTTTGGAATGAAAGGCATTGGCTATGTGCTCAGTTACTCTAAGAAGTTGGTGGCTAGTAGCATGATGATGTTTAAAGTAAACTGAGTACTCTTTGAAGAAATTAAAGTATTGTACATCATCCAAAAGACGAACAATTCAAAAATACCGCTGAGCATGTTAAAGGCCAAAAATAAGTCTAATGTGATTCTTCCCACCACTGCGTAGTCTGGCATAGTCATACTGCCACCCGTTCGAGAGCAGCACTTACGGGGGTAATTTGGTTGGGAGATTTGACAAGTTTGTCACAGTTGCTCCATGCCTGCTATACGCACATGGTGCAATGATTTCAAATTGTTATAGAGGTTTTCTTCATTCAAGATTTACTCGCGAAGACATCGTGGGTTATGACATTAGATAGCATATACATGCTAATGAAATCTAGAATTTTTATTGCAAGTGTAGTTTGTTTGGAACTTAAGCGTTTGTCCTCTAATAGTGTGTCGCATAACCTAAAAAAAGTTCTTAAAAATATGCCGAAGGAAGTGAAACATACTGCTGCGCTTCAAAAACAAAGGCAAAAATTGAAGGAAAAAAACCAAAAATATATTCCTGGAACAGTTACTCTTAAAGTTCTGGGTAGCGGCGCAAAAGGAGCCGCTAGATCGTTGTATGTTTTCACCGATCAATCCAGGTGTGTGAAGTATGAAAGTGAGGATTTGGAACGAAAAAAGTTTATATTGAAATTTTCTTAAGTAATGAATTATAATTTTGTTTTAGGTATCTTTTTAATTGCGGAGAAGGAACTCAGCGATTGGCTCATGAGCACCGAATGAAATTGTCGAAACTTGAACATATTTTTATTACTCATCGCTCATGGGAGAATATTGGGGGATTGCCAGGTGTAGCATTGACAATTCAGGATGTTGGAGTGCCGGAAATAACAGTTCATGGACCTTTGGGAATAGTTAGTATATCTAATATTATACTTGAAAGTGATGGAAATTGTAAATTAATGGCAATTATTGATGTGTTTGAAAATTACTGAGATCATTTTCTCCATGGCTCTGAACTACTTGCACAGCTTTCATACTTTCTCCTATTCTTTCCGAGCTTTTCCTTCTTACATTTTAATAATTTTTTAATTGTTTTGATTGTTTACTACTTCACAACATTTACAACACACATTCCCTCCTTTTCTGTTTGTTTTCATAGTTTATTTCCACAACAAAAACATTAAATGTTAATTCATTTCTTATTTCAGCATTGTTAATAGGATCTTATCTTGAACATTTTTAAGCAGATAAATAATTATGATGAGAATTGAAGATAAATTGCTGTAATCAAAAGTTTATTAGGAATTATTTAAATGAAAAGACTGGTGTACCTATTTGCGCATTTTCTCAACTGTATGGTTATTTTTTTTCTCCTCTTTTTAGGATGAGATCTTCAAAGCAACTCGACGATTTGTCATTCTTAGAGATTTATCGGTTAAAATGGCAAATTGCACAGCTGACACCCATTTTGAAGATAATGTGATGAAAGTATTGTATGTTCCAATTGAACCTGCAGCTGAAAATCTGAATGAAAAATGTACTTCTTACGCAAGTAACGGTGTCAACAGTGTACATCAATCAACAATTAAAACAACAGATGAAGATGACGATGTTGATTATTATGCTCATGAACGTAAAATGAAAATTGGTGTGGATAGCAAAGAAGGTATGAAATTCCATCCATTATAGTTGTAATTTGTTTGAAAAACACATCAATTTCTTGATAAAATTGACATTAACTGGGATGGCCATTCAGGTGCCCCTTATTTTCAGACTTCAATATTATTGAGGCTCCGCCCTCCCTGCCCTCACCTTCCCCATGCTCTGCGAAAATGACTTGAACTTGAATGAATGAAACAACTTGCCTAAATGAAATTTATAATATAGAGATTTTTTTGCAGTACTTGGGCCGTGTTCTTGATAAGTTTTTATTAATTGATGTATTTCTGGGTTACGTTGTATTGTCATGAATTTCACAGTCCCGAAATTGTTTTTATAAGAAAATATAAATCACAGTGGTAACAAATTGTCATCAAATGAAGTAGTGCTGGAAGTTCTATTTTGTAACATTCAGAAGAAGTCAAAACCGGGAATGAAAGTGCTAATCTTGTGGTTAGTAAGTGCATGATATTTTGTAAGTAAACGGGCATAGAGATCAGAGTCATTCTGCATTGTTCAGTGAAGGTACTTCACTTGTATTTGAAATGGAGAAAATTGCAGGACACCAAAAATTGTGAACTTAACATTGTGATAAAGAGCAGTTTAAACAAAATTTAAGCAAGTTATTTTATATGTTTCTGGCAATGCTCTACAATCTGTGAAGTTCGAAAAACACAGGCACATTTTACTGTGATAGTCAGGAGATGCAGGTCAACTTACATCAGTAGACTGCAAATCCACTGATAAAAAAAAGGCAACAGAACAAAGAAAATTACAAAAGAAAAGTCAAGACTAACATCATCAGTGCCTACAACTGTTGAACAACAGTTTTTATCATCAGAAGATTCCAATAAGGATCCTGCTTCTGATTATCTTAACAAACAGCAGCAGAGGATTTGGTCACAATACCGCAAAGGGTTCTGTTAATTGAAGGAGGCAAATGATAAGGGTATGTTCTGAAACAATTAAATCTGTTTTCAACAATGATATTCCTGTAATTCTTTTCATTCTGTTGGATAGTAAAATATTACCTGCTTTGGAATCAAAAAGAGGAAAGATTGCCACATGTTGTTACATTTGAGAACAGATAGCAACTGGTCAAGAGCAAGCAAATTCTGTTTGGAGTGTTCTAGGGTTGAGAAATAAGAGAATGCAGTTTAGCTAGAGGTCCTGACATAGCTCTTTGATACATTTCAGAAAATACTGAGTTAATGCCAATAATTTTCAAAATGGCAAAAAGGATTTTGTACGCAGCGAGTAAAAAATTAGTAAAATGTTTGACTTTCACGATTGTGAATTACAAAATCATTATTAAAAGGTGATCATTTTGAGCTCTCAAGTCACTGGAAACCGACTTGAAACCAAGATCTAAGATGTCTTCTCATCTAAAGATATACACTATTTTCGTCACAAATACTCTTAGGCATGGAAGACCAACAATTCACATTTAACAGCCCGAATGACTATTTGGGACTTAGAATCTGTGAATGATCCTGTTGAAAGAGGTGTTCAACTAATTCAAGAATTCCATGGACTGTTGACTGAGGAAGAACAAAAGGTTTGTTGTGCTACATTCAAAATCACTGTAAACTGTACTCTGTCTGTAAAAGGGAAACAACACCTGACGGAGAGAGAGTATCCTGTTCACAAAAAAAAAAATGCGAAACTTGAATTATTCACAAGAAAACTTCATAAGAGCATAAATTCAAACAACAAAAAACATGTTTTCAATTTTAATAATAATTTGAATACTATATATTAATCAGTAACTTTTACACCAACTTATACCTACAAAATCTATCAATCCTAACATTCAAATTTGGTTTGGTTTAATTTAATTTAGTCCTAATGGACTAAAAATAATGTCCACACATTATTTTTGAGTAAATATAACCAAAAGAAGAAAATGTTGGGAAGGAGCACGGGTATTTTTTACAAAATAAACGTTTGGACCATTCAAGGGACACCTTAATGGCCATAGTCTTGGACAGTTGTGTCCAAAAATATTAAAACTTTGTAATAGAAAAGAAAATTATATAAATCTTAAGATTAAAATAGGCCAAACTAGTACATGTTATTCTTCACATAGAAGTAGAATAGTAATGAATTTTTTCTTACATAAGTAATGAACAGTGTACACTTGATTTAGAACATTCAGGAATTACTCATTTGTCCTTAAAATTTTATACCTCCAGTTTGTATGCCCAGGATTGATGTTAGGGTCAGTAATATGATTGGTATGATTTCAATCATTGAGTTAAAAAAATGTTTTTTTTTAAAAAATCAATGATTTAAATCAATATTTATTATTTGAAATATTTCAATATATATTTGTATTCAAATATTTCAAATAATAAATATGTAATAAATTGTTTTCAACAATAAATGCTTTTTAATTAGGGTGGTGTAGCAAAAAAAAATTAAAAGTTCATTGAAAGAATGTTTTTTTTCTAAATCATGCTAATAGATGGTGTCACAAGCTTATTCAACAATGTGACTGCAAGAGAAGTGTTTCAAGAGCTTGAAACTAAAAGTAATTCAAATTTAAAGATTTTGTGGGTTAGGTAAGATAGGGTAGGTAAGTGAATCACTTTTTTTTTTTAGAATGGCATCAACTAGAATGGGTCTCCCAATGCTTTTATAGATCACAATCACAAAATCACTTTCAGTCTGCAAATTCTCTCCCTCATATAGCTTTGAGAATAGCAAGAAACAGTTACACAAATTTGGTAGGAATTATATAGACTGCCCTTATTTGATAAAATGAAATGAGGTTTAGTGTTCCCAATAGAGTATGTAGACAATTACATGAGTAAATGTAAAATTCTGAGACGTAAATGTTATTAAATTAAACAAAAATCAATTACAAAAATGTGTGATGTAAAAGATTGTGGGTTATATCTTCTCAACCCAAATATTTTTAATAGACATTGAATTATCTGAAGGGTTGTGTACAGGTATGAGAACTACATGCGTATGTTATGTATAATTCAACCAGGCAAGATGAAAGGCAAACATTTTTATTCACAAAAAAAAGTTTACAATTAATTAGTGCTAAAGAGTTTTCCTTGTTACAGTGTAATCTGGGCGATTCTAACTGCAAATTGATGAGATTTAATTCAAAGTTATGAAAATAAAAATGAGTGAATGATATAATAACAGATAAATTTACAGGAAGGAAGAAAGAGAAGAATTTATCAATAACAATTAAGAAATGCTAATTTGTGTACATTTAATAATCTGAAAATTCAAACTACTTCCGACACAAAGATAAACACAAATTAATGTGGGAAGGAAGAGGAACAAAATAATTATTGATTATGTCATTGTGAATGAAGACTTTCTAGATTAAGTAAAGGATACTGATGTTTTCAGAGGAAGTGAATTAGACACTGATCATTGCTTCCTTGAAAGCAAAATTAAAATCAATCCCCAACAGTACATGAATAATGAGAAGAAAGCTGCAGTGAGTCCCAAATTAAAGGTACATCTGTTAGAAGAAGAAGAAGAAGAAGAGTGAGATATTTATTTGTAAAACGACTTGAGAATATACTACAAAAATTAAACAAATAAAACATAGAAATATTCTGGACAACTCTAAAACAAGCAATTATGGAAGCAGCTAAGGAAAGCCTGGAGGAAAGGAAGAAAAGGAGAAGTGGATAAGATCACAGAATGAAGAAATACAAGAAATCATTCTAACCAAGGTCTATTAGATATTTCTACAGACAGAATAAAGAGGAATACATAGAAATAAAAGTGGAAAGCAAGTCCAAGGAAAGAAACAAGAAGAATGAAAGAAGAAAACATGGGCAAATTTGTAAAATCATTAGAGAAAGACATCACTGGACCACTAAGAGTTGGCTTTAAAGTACTAAGAATGCTTTGGACTGAAACAAGGTACAAAGTGAACATAGACCTAGTACCAGAGACAAGAGTAGATAAAGCCTAATTTTGTGGAACAAAGACAACCACATATCATACATAAACACGCCTTCAGATCTTGAAAATCAAACAGTAGAAGAATAACCACACAAAAACCTGAATAAGTTCTTAAAAAAGCTAAAAACAGAAAAAGTTCCGAAATAGTTAAAATTAATACTGAACTTATCAAATATGGAGGAAAAGAACTCAGTGATTTTGAAAGTACTATTTAACAAAATTAGGTCAGAGAATCTTACCCCAACAGAATGGCCAACAGGTTTGGTAACGAATATACATAAGATAAGAAAGTAATGAAAGTAGACTGCAACAACTACAGAGGGATAGTGCTATTATCAACCACTTCAGAATTATTGCTAACATATTAAGTAATAGAATGAATGAGTACAGTGAACAGTACAGAGGACTAAGACAGGGATGCAGCCTATCACTTATCCTTTACAATATAGCCAATAGTCTCATCGAAGAATGGATGAAATCAATAATGAGAGTCATTTAACTTATCACAAAACAAACTATACAAACAGTCCTGTTTGTAGATGACCAAATTAGTTTTACCAAATCAGAAGATGAAATCCAAGAAGCAACACATGAACTGAACAAAATAGCTACAACCTATGACATAAATGCCTCAACAAAGAAAATCGATGATCTTTCAAGAAAACAAATTAAGGCTAAATGTCCCGACACTAGTACAGTTTGTAGCCACCACGTGGCAGCACCAAAATAAGTAAAATTTACTTTACCGATAACTTCTGAAACAATGGTCCGATTTTCGATCTGTAAACGGCATTTGACGCCTTTTAAAAATAGAATTCCAAAAATCTATCAAAAACGCGAATTTGAAATTGGTTCTCAAACTTTCGAGAACAAATTTAAAAATGTGGCCTTATAGCGCGATGGCGACATGCTTCTTGACCAAGAGAGGGTGACGAAAAAGATGGGAAGAATACGAAGAAGTTATATGATAAGGGCTTACAAACAGAGTAGTGTATAAATATAGATGATTACGATAAGAACCTGAGATCGAAGAAATTAATTGGGCGACAAAACAACTGAAAATGGGAAGTCCCGGCTGTAGATATTGTCATCTGAACTATTCAAAGATACAGGGAAGAAATTTGGCGAAACTAACACAATTATGCAATGTTATCTGGAAAATAAAACAGTGAACAACTAGATTTGCAACGCATATAATTATTTCCTTAAAAGAATGGAGACAGCCGAGATTGTGGCAGATAACAAACATATTTGCATGAATATAGGTGTGATTCAGTCAATCGGCAACGTCATCGCCTAGAAAAGAGG